GCCAGATATTGAGCCAGACATTGAGCCAGACGTTGAGCCAGATATTGAGCCAGACGTTGAGCCAGACGTTGCAGCAGACAGGCAAGAGAGCAGCGAGGAGGGAGTGCCCTTGACGGGTCCTGCTGTTAACATTGGAGCGGTGAGTCTGGCTCCTGGTCGGTTATACAGGTTTATTCATTCATACTGCCTTCATCACCATAGTGTGCGTGGACATACGTGCATGTATGCATTCATGTATACATACTTACCTACATGCTAACACTGGCCCACACCACTGTAAGTATGCATATATATATATATATATATATATATATATATATATATATATATATATATATATATATATATATATACATGCATGCATGTTTATGTACGTGAATTTATACATACATAAATGTACACACACGCGCGCGCACACACACACACACACACAGTGTGTATGTGTGTGTGTGAGAAGAGCAGCTGAGAAAAGGTATGAAAATGATATAGCTAATAAAGCCAAGACCGAACCAAAGCTACTACACAGTCACATCAGGAGGAAGACAACAGTGAAGGAACAGGTGATGAAACTTAGGGTGGGCGAGGACAGGTACGCAGAGAATGACAAAGACGTGTGTGAAGAACTCAACAAAAGGTTCCAGGAGGTCTTTACAATAGAACAGGGAGATGTCACGGCGCTAGAAGAGGTGGCAGCAAACTAGGTGACCTTGGATAGGTTCGAAATTACAAGAGATGAGGTCAAGAAGCACCTATTAGAGCTGGATGTGAGAAAAGCTGTTGGGCCGGACGGAATCTCGCCATGGGTATTGAAAGAGTGTGCAGGAGCACTTTGCTTACCACTCTCCATAGTGTATAGTAGCTCACTGGAAACGGGGGACCTACCAGAAATATTGAAGACTACTAATGTAGTACCAATATACAAAAAGGGTGACAGACAAGAGACACTGAACTACAGGCCAGTGTCCTTAACTTGTATACCATGCAAGGTGATGGAGAAGATTGTGAGAAAAATCTAGTAACACATCTGGAGAGAAGAGACTTCGTGACAACCCATCAACATGGGTTCAGGGAGGGTAAATCTTGCCTTACAGGCTTGATAGACTTCTACGATCAGGTGACAAAGATTAAGCAAGAAAGAGAAGGGTGAGCGGACTGCATTTTTTTGAACTGTCGGAAAGCCTTTGACACAGTACCCCCATAAAAGGTTGGTGCATAAGTTGGAGAAACAGGCAGGAGTAACTGGTAGGGCGCTCCAGTGGATAAGGGAGTACCTAAGCAATAGGAAGCAGAGAGTTACAGTGAGGGGTGAGACTTCAGACTGGCGTGAAGTCACCAGTGGAGTCCCACGGGGCTCTGTACTGGAACCTATCCTGTTTCTGATATACGTAATTGATCTCCCAGAGGGTATAGACTCATTCCTCTCAATGTTTGCTGACGACGCCAAAATTATGAGAAGGATTAAGACAGAGGAGGACAGCTTGAGGCTTCAAGAAGACCTGGACAAGCTGCAGGAATGGTCGAATAAATGGCTGTTAAGAGTTTAACCCAAGCAAATGTAATGTAATGAAGATAGGGGTAGGAAGCAGGAGACCAGATACAAGGTAAGATTTGGGAGATGAAATACTTAAGAGTCAGAGAGAGTGAAAGGCCTGGGGGTTGATATCACGCCAGACCTGTCCCCTGAAGCTCATATCAAGAGGATAACATCAGCAGCATATGCTAGGTTGGCTAACATAAGAACGGCCTTTAGAAACATGTGTAAGGAATCTTTCAGAACATTATATACCACATATGTCAGATCAATCCTGGAGTATGCGGCTCCAGCATGGAGTCCATATCTAGTCAAGCATAAGACTAAACTGGAAAAGGTTCAAAGGTTTGCCACCAGACTAGTACCCGAGCTGAGAGGTATGAGCTACGAGGAGAGACTACGGGAATTAAACCTCACTTCGTTGGAAGACAGAAGAGTTAGGGGGGGGACATGATCACCACATTCAAGATTCTCAAGGGAATCGACAGGGTTGATAAAGACAGGCTGTTTAACACCAGGGGGACACGCACTAGGGGACACAGGTGGAAACTGAGTGACCAAATGAGCCACAGAGATATTAGAAAGAACTTTTTTAGTGTCAGAGTGGTTGACAAATGGAATGCATTAGGAAGCGATGTGGTGGAGGCTGACTCCATACACAGTTTCAAATGTAGATATGATAGAGCCCAGTAGGCTCAGGAATCTGTACACCAGTTGATTGACCGTTGAGAGGCGGGACCAAAGAACCAGAGCTCAACCCTCGCAAGCACAATTAGGTGAATACAATTAGGTGAGTACACACGCACACACACACACACACACACAGGGCCTCGCGGCTGAGTGGACAGTACTCGGGGGAGTTGTAGTTATAAGGGCCCGGGTATGATTCTCGGTGGAAGCAGAAATAAATGTGCAGTGTTTCTTTCACATGATGTACCTGTTCACCTAGCAGTAAATAGTATCAGAGAGTTAGAAAGCTGCTACGGGCTGCTTCCTGAAGGTGTTTGTGTGTGTGTTGAAGGGAGATATATATAGTAGACATAAATGAGGAAAAATAGATCGATTACAAAGGCTGGGTCCAAGAGCTAACAGCTCGATTCTGCAGACGCAATTAGTAAATAGAAAAATAGTAAATACACAGAGACTAGCAGGTGGTAGGTAAGGCTTACCTAAAAGGGATGAGGTAATACTGAATGATAGGCAACTATGTAAAGCGTTTAATGAACAAATCGTGGCGCAGTTGACTAGAGTGCGCATCAGGGAACACCCAACGCATAGGTTCGAACCCTCATCACGGCTCCTGTGGATTTCTTCATTGATATATCACAATAATGTGATTTCTAAGTGAGTGTAAAGTTATTGTAAGATTGAAGAAGTGCTCAAAGTGGAGCCAGGACAAGTACCTGTCATGAGAAGGGAACAATTCTCCATAGAGTATAACAGTAGCGACACATGACGAGGTAAGAGACCAGCGTCAGGGACTTGAAGAAACTCAGACTGTGGCCACCCGGCAGGATATCCCCATGCATCCTAAAAGAAGTTGCAGTAATCCTGTGCGAGCCACTTGCAATGATCAGCAATGCAGCGCGGAGACGGGTTGTGCCGGATACCCCTGGAAGGAGACGTGTTATCCCAACATACAAGATGGCCATTATCAGACAGGTAACACCCACCTTCTAACCAGTCTCCCCTATCAAGTATATCAAGCAATGCGATAGCAATAGTGATAAAGAAGAGAACAACGATATATTTGAATTAATTGAACACCAACACGGATTCAGAGAAGGGAAGACATGCATGATGTACATATTAGAGTTTAACTAGAGAACAACATTGTGCTATAAAAGAGGCACTAATACAGTGTCAATAATGAGTACTTAAATGAGAAATTACCCATGAAATAGTAAGAGTAAGAGTAATATGGGGTAAACGGATATGGGTAAATGTCAATAGTGGAGTCCCACAAGGCTCAGTGATGGGACCTATGCTATTCCTAGCATATATAAACGACATAGCTGATCAACTAGACTCTTGTTGTATCAGCGTTTGCTAACGGAGTAAACGTAAATAGTAAGGTAAGCGACTTCAGGAAGACTTAAGCTTACGACATGGATGGACAATGGGTTAGTAGATTTCATGCCAAGTAAGTGCAACGTCATGAACGAGCTAGAAGAGAAGATAGTAGCGGCTATAAGATCGACCCTTCAAACTATGTCAGGTAAGAATAAACACAAATAAATTTCCAAAGAGCCAAAGCTCAACCTCCGCCAGCACAACTAGGTGAGTACACACACACACACACACACACACACACACACACACACACACACACACACACACACACACACACACACACACACACACACACACACACACACACACACACACACACACACACACACATGTACATGTACCCAGCATCTTCAAGCCACACCGGAGACGCTGGTCACCAGGAACCGGTGGACAGACGCCATTCAAAGTTAATTAAAAGTCTATTAGAGTGTTTATCAGGTTGCAGCATCCCAAGACTCTTGGCCCCGCCTGACTGGGCTCAAGATACACCGATTAGCATTCTGGGAGAACACTACTGGCCTCGAGTGGCGCTCTCATCCCCCGCCACCCGGGCACAGGCGTCAGGACACTTCCCTCTTTGACGCTTCACAGACCACCGTAGTGCGTAGGTTACTTTGTTGGGTCTGAATGGCCACAAGGAAGGACAAGGGGGGTCAATAGGGGTCGAGGGGGGCTATTGGGATAAGCAGTTAGAAGGGACTGAGTGAACTTTGTGATTAGGGTTACTGGAAAGGGTTACATGGTCTTGGGCGTTCTACACAGGCATGGAGGCTACGGGAGCGCACGTGACGAGGAGGTCCTGGCCACATGTGTCCGTCTCACCCCTCTCCATCACATAACTTTTTAATCAGGTCACAAAAAATATTGTTTGAGGAAACTGCGGATGGATGGAGTGTTTCCACCCGAGGGAAATGACTGTTGAGTGCACTGTATGAGGCAGTATAAACCATGTGCACTCACCTAGATGTGCATGCAAGTCGGGTGTCAGCTCCTAAGCCCGCCGTGAAATATTTGTTGCTGCAACTACTTCTTCGTTTAACAAATCCAATATATTTACAGCGTTGACGTTCTTTACGACGTAGCTGTCTCTCGTCTGTATCCCTAGGTGCTTCCGTTCCTAGAATCTTACATGTCGTTATCGTGTCACTTCTGTTCATCCAATGTGGTGAAGTCCGGTTCCCTCAGTCTTTCCTCGTAGCTTAGTTCCCTCAGCTCTGGAACTAGTCAAACTGTTTAACTTTGAACATTGGCTTTGAAGATTTTTTTATTTCAGGTGGGAGTTCCTTGTCGGGATTGCATACTTAAGGTGTAAAAATCTCACATAGGTTTTTAAATAACGTTTTAAAAGCTCCTTTTACCAAGCTCCTGAAAGATAGTTGGATATTTTCTGTTTGGTCTATGGTGCCGTTATTCTGCTAAAGTGTGATTCTTGCATTAGGTCTTTCTCCATGATGAAGGAATCAGTCTGCCCTTTATTTTGCAAAGGTTCTCTTGCTCCTGTTTCTACCACCATAACTTTGGATTTGTCAGGAATTGCGTGGTAGCTATTCTTCACACTTACTATGAAATGTGTGTTGTTAATTTTGCACTATATTACTGTGCTCTCCGTTCTGATTCTTCCTATTGGTTTTGCATCATCAGTAAACACTAACATGAGGAATTGCATTTTTTATTTGCTGTTTTCACCTCTCTCAATCTTTCCTCACTTGACGTTCTCAGTTATGCTTTGCATGAATAGGCACTGGGTTCCAAGCTGGTGCTACACACTATAATCCTGTCCTCATGTACAAGGTGTAGACATTTATGGGCGAAAATGTCATGGTAGGAAAAGATGGATCTGCTCTGGACAGGTTTGTCAGCTTTGTGCATACCGCTGATGTTATGTAGTTTATATGTGCCTCCCATGGTGGCTTAATGTCCATCTTGTGGCTTTTTTCTCTTCTCGGGATTGTCGCTTCTTCGAGGCATGTAGCTCTTCTATTCTTTCATCTCTTCACATCCTAATTATTTTGTATTTTGTTATATTAAATTAGAGAAACTCCTCATATTAGTCATTTCCATATAGGCCTATCAGGAACGGTCCTGGAAGTGGCCTTTGAGGATGACAACAATATTATTTTCGCCGTCAACAGCTCCAGCCTCACTGTTACTAGGATTTTTGCGTCATTCCTCCAGTGAGGAACAATGTCGAATTGTTTCTGGCAGTCTGGGAATATACAGTCTACCCATCCCTACCCTTCATGGGTACTCCTGGTTATACCATCTTTAAACGTTAATTAGTTAAATACGGGATTTACCGTCACTGAACCCACGCTGGTTATTTGCTACAGAATTTGTAATGTTTGTTGTTTCCAGATGATTGTGATTTTAGGGTGATTAATGTGGAGGGGTTGGTTGTGGTGGTGGTGGTGGTGGTGGTGAAGGTGGTGGTGGGCGGCCATGGTGTCCAGGTCAGTGCCGGTCGGCCATGGGGACCTGGTAGGACTCGCTGGCAGTTGTGCATGATGGGAAGATGGCCCAATGGGCTAGCTCATGGTCGGCAAGGTGAGGAAGAGGCCATGGCAGGGCAGGGTAGGCCAGCAGGAGAGTTGAGTAGGCCTGGAGAGGGGTGGTGTAACAGCGCATGCGCAGGTGTGGTCCAGTGAGTGGCCGCTGTGTAGCCCCGGGCTGCCCACCACCACCACCACAGCGCCGCCCCACCACCCCAGCCCTGCCCACCGCCCTCCAGTTAACCCTGCAGCAGCCCAGAGCTCCCGCACGCACCTCTCTACACCCACCACCTCCCTCAGTCGACCCCTATATCCTGCCTGAAGTGGTAGCCACGCGGAAAATATACTTCCTCCTGTGACAATATCCTTGTGCCATAATACATTCTGGTGAAAGTCTGTGTGAGAAGCGTGCATCAGTGTGGTTTGGAAGGCAGCTGGCAGAGCGAGGCAACTGTGACCACAGCTGGCATGTCACATACTCTCACTCCATCCCTGCCTGTTCTTCTTTCGTCCTCACCACTCCACCACCTGTCTCCTGCACGCCGAGGGACAGCTAGCGCAACTGTGTGAATGTGGCCGTGTTGAAGAAGCTGTTCAGCCACCCTGCCGCTGCTCCCTGCAGCTGTGGCGAGCTGTTGCTACGGAGGGCCGTCAGTGAGCGTCGCCTGGAACAGGAGCCCACACGGGACCCAGGCACCCGCTGTTACGCCGTCACTCACCCTTGTAAAGGAGCGGAAGACGCAGCATCCCAGTCTGGCTTGAGATCAGGTGTTTGGTGACGGTGGCGGTGTGAGGTGAGGTGAGGAGTGTGTGACGCACTCACCACACACAGTGCTTACAGTGTGACGAGGTTTGTGTGTGCGTCTTGGCCCAGAGGTGCCACTGTGATCCCTCAGGTGCGTGAGGATCTCTTTAGTGCGTGGCTGAGAGGTCGCAGGCAGCGGCCAGGAGCTAGAGTCTCTACCACGGTGATCGTTGAGGCCAGAGCATCACAACATCACTCACGAGTGTGCTCGGCAGAAAGTCCAACGAGACCTAATGTTTAGCGTAGAATTTTGTAGTACTTTTTACAGTGATTGTGTCGGACCTGGTGCCTAGTGCCAGCCCGGGAGAGCCAGTTGGTGCCACAGTGACCGACCCAGCACCCAGCTGGGGCGCGTCCCCGAGGGCACTGCCTGCAGCCAAGCACCGTCGTCACCGCGCGCGCTACGGTCAACGTCTTGTTTCAAACAGAAGTCATCGAAGTAGGTTCTAGGTGCGGCCAGTGGCAGCTGGGGCGGTGGGGACCCCGGCGGAGTTGTGGTGATTCTTGTGTCTTTCCGGAAGGATGTGAGTGATGTACCCTCGGCCCGACGCCCACCTTACGCCCACCCCACGCCCGCAAGCCCACTACACACCAGCCACACGCCCGCACGAACACCCCACACCCGCCCCACGCCCACACGCCCACCAAACTACGCCATTAAGCGCACCACCGCATCAAAGTAACTGGTAAGAATATTATTTCCTGCTATATCTGTTCCCAAAACAAATCTCGCAACTTAAAGATTTCTTTTATTAAACCTAATCACAAACGCAGCTCCGGGAGAATCGAACGTCGAAATTACAGAACAAAAATATTAAATGTTTTCGCATCATATCTTTAACACGTAGAATATTAAATACAAAAAAAATTACGTAAATACAAATTCCTATTTTTTTATTATAGAATGAAGCTGATGTGGCCTTTGTAGCCAGGGGAGACATGGGGTGAGGTACGCCAGTGAGGCGAGGACAGACATGGGTATGGTACGGGGTGAGGTACCCCAGTGAGGCGAGGACAGACATGGGTATGGTACGGGGTGAGGTACACCAGTGAGGCGAGGACAGACATGGGTATGGTACGGGGTGAGGTACGCCAGTGAGGCGAGGACAGACATGGGTATGGTACGGGGTGAGGTACCCCAGTGAGGCGAGGACAGACATGGGTATGGTGCATGGTGAGGTACCCCAGTGAGGCGAGGACAGACATGGGTATGGTACGGGGTGAGGTACGCCAGTGAGGCGAGGACAGACATGGGTATGTGGATCACGGTAGGGGGCCGTATTGAGGTCTCCATACACACACACACACACACACACACACACACACACACACACACACACACACACACACACACACACACACACACACACACACACACACACACACACAATTGGTTCCCGCTTCGTTGAAAGGCGAGACCAACGAGCTGGAGCTCAACCCCCGTAAGCACAACTAAGTAAAACTAGGTAAGTACGCACACACAAGTATACGTGCACACACGCACGTACACGTATACACACATATGTACTCATGCATGCGCGCTCGCACACACACCTCTACAGGAGTGGACAAACAAGTGATTGCTGGAGTTCAATCTTAATAAGTGTAAAGTAATGACTATGGGAAAGGGAGAAAGAAGACCAGAAGGTGTCTATACCATTAATGGATGGCACTTGTAGGAATCTGAGAAAGAGATCTGAGAGTAGATATAATTCCAGCAGTAACCAGGGGCACACACAGACAAGGTACCATCAGCAGCATATTGGACGCTGCCGAACTTTAGAATGTCATTTAGAAACCTAAATTAGGACGTTTTCAAGGAAATCTACACATCTTTTACTTAACAAGTAATGGAATATGCAGCACCGCCTTGGAAGCCGTACCTTGTGAAATATAAAACTTAAAACTGAAAAAGTGAAGAGGTTTGCAACTAGATTGGTGCCAGAGCTTAGAGTGTTAAGTTATGAGTATAGGCTGAAGGAACTAGACCTCATAGCCTTGGAGGACAGAGGAAATAGCGGAGATATGATAACAACGTACAGATACTGAGGGGAATAGACAAGGTGGACAAGGACAGGCCCTTTAAGTTGAGAGACAGCAGGACAAGAGGGCACAAGTGAAGCTGGAATCCCAAATGCGTTTAATAAATGTAAAAAAATATTCGTACCCAGTACGGGTGGTCAACAAGTGGAACGCACTAAAGTAAGAAGCTGTGGAAGCCACCTCCAATCACAAGGTCTAGGAAAGGATCTACAAAAATAGTGATTGTTAGAATAGTGAAGCTTTAACGCAACAGGTACAACAAGGCTACTAGGCGGAGCACGAAGAGCTGAACCTCACTTCCCCGTAGTCACTGATGGGTAAGTACGCACACACACACACACACACACACACACACACACACACACACACACACACACACACACACACACACACACACACACACACACACACACACACATGTGTGTGTGTGTGTGTGCCTGGTAGCCTGGTGGATTGCGCGCAGGACTCGTAATTCTGTGGCGCGGGTTCGATTCCCGCACTCGGCAGAAACAAATGGGTCTTTCACCCTGAATGCCCACGTTACCTAGCGGTAAATAGGTACCTGGGAGTTAGTCAGCTGTCACGGCTTGCTTCCTGGTGTGTGTGTGTGTGTGTGTGTGTGTGTGTGTGTGTGTGTGTGTGTGTGTGGTGTGGGGAAAAAAAAAGTAGTTAGTAAGAGTCGATTGACAGCTGAGAGGCGGGCCAAAAGAGCAAAGCTCAACCCCCGCAAACACAACTAGGTGAATACACACAAGCACACACACAAACCTCACGTCGCTAGAAGACAGAAGAGTTAGGGGGGACATGATCACCACGTACAAGATTCTGAGAAATTGACAGGGTAGATAAAGACAGACTATTTAACACAAGGGGCACACGCACTAGGGGACACAGGTGGAAATTGAGTGCTCAAATGAGCCACAGAGATATTAGAAATAATTTTTTTAGTGTCAGAGTAGTTGACAAATGGAATGCATTAGGCAGTGATGTGGTGGTGGCTGACTCCATACACAGTTTCAAGTGTAGATATGATAGAGCCCAGTAGGCTCAGGAACCTGTACACCAGTTGATTGACAGTTGCGAGGCGGGACCAAAGAGCCAGAGCTCAACCCTCGCAAGCACAAATAGGTGAGCACACACATGCACATATGTTTTTTTATTATTATTATTTTCTACCACAGACGTGGCCACACATTTACAATGCTAACCAGCATATATACATT